TCATGGACCGAATTGATGGACCAAGTTCATTGAGGGAAACCGGACTTGACTGTTGATTTCTTTTTGTAAATCAAATGCATGGAATCAAAACCGGACTTGATTTATGAGAATGGAGTGCAGATTTTGATGGAGAAAAATCACTTGGGCCGAAATCAAATGCAAACCTCATTGGACTTCAAAAATCAAATGAAAACAATGCAAGTGGGCCGAATATTAAATGAAACCAATGAATCAACTTGGACTCTACATTGGACTTCCTTGGAAAATCAAATGAAGATTGGGCTAGAGAAGAACAAAAACCAAATTCAAAGGTGGAGATTATTGCTTGGGGCTCAAGACAAATCCAATGGATTTATTTTCTTGTCTTTTTTATTTCTTTTTGCACTTTAATTTGTAGAATAGATTTATTTTCTCGCATTTAATTTTTGTAATATATTTTGTAGTGTAGATTTTTATTTTCTTTGTAGTTAGATTTATTTCTTGTTCATAGTTTAGATTTTTCTTTTCTTTTTATTTTTGTAATTAGTTCTTTTTCCTTATTTTTATTTCTTAAGATGTGAATTTAATTCTTATAGGAAGTTTAGAATTATATGAAACTAGTCTAATTTCCTTTATATTGTATGAATTATTCTCTTGTATTTAAAATGTTCATGTTTAGGATAATCAACTAGAGAACTAATCGGTAGAAGAAGAATTTGATAATCTATGCTTTCCTTAAATGGTTTGATAGGTTATGCTTATGAATTCTAGGATTATTATCATGTTGTTGTTCTTATCATGAATAGTAATTTTGACTTAGATGATAATTTGATAGGTTACACTTTCCTTAAATGGTTTGATAATCTATGCTTAATAAATCTAGGTTGAAATATGATAAAAAGAGAATAGTTTATATTTTGTAATTGAAATTGGTTAGTGGATTATATTCTAGATTTCTTACCTCTTTTGAATCCTCCATCTTGACTTTCTTAAATTTTTTTTTCATTCTTGGTTTTATTTCTTGATTTTATTCATTCATCTTTCTTGACCTTGTGATTTCATTTATTCTTTAATTCTTCCTTCTCTCCTCTAAAATTCAATTTATTATCTTTTGCAAATATTCACAACAATCACTCATCACATTCATACTTATTCTTTATTCCTAATTGTCATGCACAAAATATAAGAACCAAGTTTAATGATCACTTAAAATCACCTTCTTCGTGGGATCGATATCTTTTTATACTATAACTTGATAAATTGTGCACTTGCAATTTTGGTACATAATTATACCGCATCAACCTGTCAAGAAGACTTCATAATCTACTCCTTCCTCGTCATCACGCATAGCTGAAGACTTAGGTGGACTCGTGATTGCATCCGGTTTAGCCATGAGTCCTGTTGTTAGACTAGGCCTTAAATCTCTAACCTGTAGCATTAGTGCGGAAGGTGGGGGAGATTGGTTCTCTTCATGACCCCTTGGTTCTGAAACAGGAGCCTTAGGGGAGCCTACTACCGGAGTAGATTTTGCATCTGCAATCATTAAATCATCCACCCTGTCCTCAGGAGGATGGTAGGAGGAGACTTCAGTTGAAAGAGCTGGACCACTTGCACGAAGTCTAGTTCTGTGTGGAAGGCCTGCAACTGAAGACTCTTGGTATTCCTCTTCTTCTATAGACTTGAAAGCGTCAGCCATTAATTTTGGTTTGTGTTGGCCTTTAATAGGAGAAGACTCAAACATCAACTTTCGGCGAGTTCATTTATCGTACTGGCCAGCTTCACCTGTTGTAAGAGCTCTTTTCCCTGGTGCTCTCGCTGCAGGAATATCAGCTATTTGGGGATCTCCTACTTGAATGATTTCAGCTACTTGATTCCCCCCTTTCTTAATAGTGTTATCTTCAAAGGATAAGTACTCATCAATTCCTCTTAGACGAGACGTCTTGGACCCCTTCCTAGAAGTATACATACGTCTGATTTCCTTTAGACAATATGTATTCAAATTATAGTCAGAGTTCTAAGAGGTAGTAGAATATCAGTTGCAGAAACCCATGGAAGTGTAAGAATTAGGTGTCTTATGGGGGAGCTTTAAGACGGCCTTGGTACAACCGGCTACTGAATAGTACTAGGATCCGGTCCCCTCATATAGGTTACCCACAACCGCAAGTTGAGGTTAGGGATTCCTAACGTATAGTTGGTCATATCCAAATTGACGGGCGAATCCATATAGTTAAAAAGGCTCGATAAAACACTTCTCACCCTATCGAAAAATCAGATAGCCTGGCCTTATGTAGAATAGACAACAGAAAACACCCCTATTCAGCTGAGTGAATCTGTTAGGACCTGTCACATCCTGGAATATCGCTCCATACACTCCACCTTCAAAATCGGGGAAGCAACGGAAGATGTGATAATTCGTATCCCTCAACAAAATCTGACGAATCTTAATCATGTAAGTCCCTTCCCACTTTGCTGAATCCAACCGTTGCACAAGCGGGATAAATGAGTCACCTTGGGGAGAGGCTACACTCATTAGTGAGGGACAATAAGACACGTACCATGCCATTAAGTAAGTATAGGATATTGACATCGGGGATTTGGAGTTTTAAAAGTCTTGCCCTCATCGAACCCCACCTCCGTAACCTGAACAAAATCCAGGGATAGTTCCCACATCCCATCCCATAAATAGTGCACCATGGCTAAAAGAAGGTTCAGTGGCCTCTCATGCACCAAAAGAACGACTGGATAGATTACTTCCACAACAAGAGCATCAATCGACCTTGTGGGGTCAATGCACCGATATAGCCATAACATCATAAATCCTGCCAATAGTGTCGTATCTGAAATAGGAAGCTGAGCTTGATAATGGAAGCTTTCAAACTCTGTGTAAGCAGGAAAAATGTCTTCTTTAGCTTCGTTTGTGTAATGAGAGGTGGCAGCATCAATCCGGGCCTGGATCTCCTCCCGAGTACTCGTAGTTAATCTGGTCACTGGGGCTCCCTTCTTGGTCAAATTCTAGAACAAGTACTCCGCCAAAGATACTTGTTTTACACCATCTCCTTGAGCTCCCGTTTGTTGGGTACAGATATGGAAGTGGCACATGACTTCCCAGAGAGTTGAATAAACTTCAAGGCTGGTTCTTCTCAAAAATTTGAGTTCCATTGATCCCGGAATAAACTCTTCATAGGGTAAATCTCCAAAAGGTAGACCTGATATGTCATACATCTCGTGAAGAGAAAAACCCAACTCTCCTACAGGAGTAAAGAAAGTGTAAGTCTTGGGGTTGTATCGCTCCAAGATAGAGAAGAAGTGATAGTGGCTCTAGATAATCCCGTATTTGGTGGCCATCACCGGAATCTTCAAGCCAGCTTAGGTAAGAGGTGTATCCAACTCCTCCAAAACAAACTTGGTTATTCAGGTTCACCACCCCGTTACAAAGAATGCACCTAACCAGGAGATCTGAATAATTGGGCAGGAAACTCCCCTTTCACAGCCATGAACCTATTAACAAAAATATTAGCCGGGCTAGCTACTTCACCAACTGGGTATTCCTTAGTAAACAAGTCTGGTCTTAAGGCTGTCACTTGTATTTTGTAACCCACTGTACGAACGCCCTGGAAAGTTAAGGCTCCAATGGCAACTCTGTCTTGTTCCTTGACAAGGTACCAATCCATACGCCTTAGAATGGAAGCGCATTGGAAATACGATATCAGGTACATCCTCTCCATATTAGATAAGAAAAGGTAACGGTCTCCAACTTTCCTCAACCACTTATAATCCCCATCATAAGAAACACCCGCTTCGAAATCAATAAAGTCCCCGAAGAGGAATGAAGGTTTGACGAACGGTTTACGGCTTAGACTTTCAAATCTGATATCTGTGACCAACGTATGAAGAGTCTTAAAAGAAGCCTGAGTGATCAATTCAACACGGTCTTTGTCAGTAATACGGAAAACAGGGAGCTCTTAGCATAGATTGAATGTCATATTTAGATCTACACCACCTTCATGGCTAAAATAATGGAAGAAAGGGAGAGGCTTATTGGTGTAATGCACTAGAAATGAAAAGAGCGATCAGTCAGTACAAAAGTAGAATCAAATAGGCCTAACTAAAATGTAGAGGTCAAATCCTGCATTGGCAAATGCAAACGTAGAGGTCGAACACTATGTTGGCAAATTCAAACGCAGAGGTCGAACCCTGCGTTGGCAGAGTTCAAACGTAGAGGTAAAACCCTGCGTCTGCAAAGTCAAACGCAGAGGTCAAACCTGTGTCTACAAATTCAAACACAGAGGTTGAATCCTATGTTGGTAGAGTTCAAACCATGCATTACAAAATTTGAGCGTAGAGGTCGAAACCCCCACGCTTTGAATTCTAAACGACAGAGTCCCAACTTTGCGTTATGTCATTGAAACGAGTCTCCTCGTTATTCAAAATTCAAAACTTGCTGAAGCAAGTTTTACAAGCCATGAAGGCTACACTTACCACTGATCAAGGAGGAACTATGGGCAAGACATCTGTGGGCCACAGCAAGGCGGCCGAAGTCGGCACGAGTCCGATCACGGTGACAGCAGGCTTATGGGTCAGAGAGAAACTTATTCTTCCTGAGTGCCATTGATATCGCTGAGGAAGAGATTGAACAGGCTTCACCAGAGTTTAAAGAATCTTTCATTGAAATATTTTGGAGAGAAAAGGGAAAGAGTCGAATGACTCTTGATTTGACCCCATCTGTCTATTTATAGACAGCTGTGAGTTGTTAAATCAGGATGATATTCTAGGTCAGAATCCCACTAAACACGACCTTTGCATTCATGTTAAAGTTGGTTGAACTTCTGAACGCAGAGTTCACCCCTACGTCTCAATGCTCAAGCACAAAGTCCACTGGTGCGTTTTAACGCCACAAAATAAACATTTCGACAACCAGGGCTACGACACAGCTTCAAATAAATAAAGAGAAGTTAATAATGGCCATCAAGGTGACAAAAGCTGAGAAGAAACTAGCCTATGACAAGAAGCTATAGTCAATAATGCAGAAATTATCAAGCTCGATCCTTCAAGCAACTCATCCTTTCAAATGGCTTAATATTCTAACCAAAATTAATAACGTTGTTGTTGAAATCATTACCCCAGTTGAGATGATCAAGAAAGGAGACAAAGTGGGTTCCTCTGAGGTTGCCCTCCTTGCCAAACTTGGGTAAAGTCCTTCTCATACGGGCTTGTGGTTCTCTCTGTCTATGACAATGGATCTATCTTCAGCCCAGAGGTGCTCAACCTCATTGAGGATAGTCTCATTGACAAGTTTGCAGCTGGTGTTTCTATGATTGCTTTGCTGTCCTTAGCTCTCTCTTACCCAACTCTTGTAGCGACACCTCTCATGTTCATCGATGCCTATAAGAACGTCCTTGATGTTAGTGTCAAAACTGAATACACCTTCGTTTTGTAGCATCGGCTGGGAATGTTGTTAGTCCTACTGCTGAAGAAAGAGGGAAAAGTTAATCCTACTAATGGATATAACGATGATGACTTAGACTTTAACTTGTTTGACTAAGTTCCTTATCATCAAGACACAAAAGTTATCTTGTTTGGTTTAAGGTGATCAGGATTACCTTGACTACTTCTACATGTTCATCGGGAGTATGAGGTTAACCATTTCTAAAAGTGATTACAAGGAATCACCAATGCAGGAAGCAGAATTATGACGTACAATAAATTTCTACTACCAAGTTCATAATGCCTCCGAAACAGACAAAGTGAACAATCAGCCATGCAACGATAACTTGAGCTTTAGCTTATTTGACTAAGGTCATTGTCATCAAGGCACAAAAGTTATCTTTTTTGGTTTAAGAAAGCAGAATTGCAATATTCCAACAACCAAGTTCGCAATGTCTTCGAATCAGACGGAGTGAACAATCATTCAACAAACTTTAGGATCCAAAGTATTCTAAAAATTCGTCCTAGTCAACCACGAACTTTTGAAAACTTTGGAGGGGGTTTTGTAGGCTATCTAAAAATCATAACAGATAGCTAATATCTATCAATTTTCAATCAATATCTCGACAATGAAAGTTACAATCAAACAACTTTCACGTCAATAAAACAAAAGTTACAATTGGAGGATTTTTACGTAGATCGAGAAAAGTTACAATTCAAAGACCTTTACGACAACTGATGAAAACTCTGATTTAATAGCCTTCACAATCAACCGTGAGAGCCACAATCTGACGACTCTCATATCCTAAATAGCTAAAGTGAAGATTACAGAACAACGGTCTTTGCAAACGCTCCAATAGAAAAGGTTACAAGTTAACAACCACTTCTAAATACAGAGTTCATCTCTATGTTTAATTTTTAAAAACACAGGCGGTCCCTACGTTTTTAATTTTTAGTAGATGCCCAACTCTGCGTCTCAAGCCTAAGACGCAGAGTTAGGGCCCAGAACGCCGACCTAGGTGTTTGACTCAATCAAACATGAGCTGAACGGTTTCAAAACTATTTTTCCTACGATCTGAGGGAATCACACCCACTTAGGAGCAGATTAAGGGGTTAGTTACACCCCTTATCTTCCTTTAAAAACCTCAACAAACTCAACCGAAAAGAGGTTCAAGGTTCGGCTTTTGGATCAGATCATCCAGGAAATCATACTTCGACAGATTGAGTTCGGTTTTGGAGGAAGTTGTTATCTTCTGAAGATCAGATCTTAGCAACAAAGAGATTAGATCTTAGAGCATTACACAAAGAGTTTTAACACTTAGCTATTAACCGAATTCTCAGTTCAAACAACTCTTTTCATAGAGTTTAAACTCGTTCTGAGTTCATAAACTCATTAAGAGTTCTTTTTTATACTTGCCACGCAAGTTAATCATTCTAGTAAAGGGAGGTTTAGATCATCAATGAAGAGTAAACTCGAGACGAGCATTCGAGGGAGGCACTCCATCACCACTGTGAAAAACCCAGAATTAAACAAATAGGAGGATTTATATTGATCCTCTTCTCTTTCGTAATCGAAAATTTAAATTGTAATCAGTTAGAGATCGAGAGAGTTGTAAACATTCTTTTTCTAAGCAATTAGAGGGAATAAATCAAATTCAATTCTTTCAATTATCTTCTTATAAATTTTCCAACAAACATTAATAATGGTGGGGCCCTTAGTCTCTACGATGTCTACCACCACTCCTGCTATTATGGTCACCAGCGCTCTAGTTCAAGCTCCAACGACAACATTGACTGCAGATGAATCTCCCCTGCAGTTCGCATGTGGAGGACAGCTATAGATCGGACTATTGAGCTCTTCTGATCTTTCCTTCATGATAGCATTCAAATGTCGTTGGATGGAGGCTGCTATTTTGAAGAATTCAAACTAGTCTTGCAAGTCTATTTGGATAGTCTGACCAAGCTGGTTGGTGTTGATGTAGCCTCTCTGTACCAAACACACTTGGTGCTGGTGGAGAAGGACATCCAGGAGTTGCTCGCCTTTTGGTCCGAGAGCTCGAACATTATTAACTTAGCTTCTGAAGAGGCTCAATTAGTTCTGAAAGAGCGAGAGCGCCTTTTAGAAGAGACTATGGCTGATGAGACCCGGTTGAAGGAGTAGTTAGAACAGGCCACCGCGGAGGGCAAGAAGATCGATGAGGAGCGCCGGGAAGCAAACTTTGTCTTAGCTGATTTAATATTAGGCATAACCAAAGCTAAGCAAGTTATAGCAGAGGCGCAGGCGATTCTGACTGATAAGGAGGGAGCTCGCCAACAAGTGTTGGGAGAGTTGGAGGATCTTAAGAATCAACAGTAGCTAATCATTGGCAATCTCAAGGAGAAGGAGTATGCTTTGAAGGTGGTAGAGACCACACCTGCTGGCGTCGTCTCACTTTCTAAGGAAGAATACGCTGGGAAATCCTGAATAAATTTGAGAGGAAGCATGCACTTGCAATTCAAGATATCGAATCGCGATTGAGAAATTTTTATTTTTTTTGAATGATTTTGTACTAAATATTTCTCGTTATGAATAAAATTAGCTTTTTATCCAATTATCGTTTTCAATATCTTTTGCATTTTTTCCTTTTACTTGCTCTGTCGATTATAAATTAGAATTTTTAGCAAACCCTCATGTATTAATGGATTTGATTTGCCTTTACCAATTACCATTTAAATTAGGTTAGCCTTACTATTCTCCTTAGTATGGTGAGTTGTCGAGAAGTTTCTTTTAGACTTAACGCTAAAATTTCTTCTCTACCCTTACCCATTCAAAGTGTCGGGTTAGGTTAATTATAACCGTTAAGTTGTAATCAAGTTAGGCTGTACCGTTTGGTGTAACGACTTAGCCCGAGAATTTGAGAGCGAGACTCATCGCATGGTAAGTTCAATACTCGAGAGGTTCGAACAATGAATCATTGCATGGTAGGTCGTTATTCGAGAATTAGGGTTGATAAGGCACATCGGTCGGTAGGCCAATATCAACGAACATCGTCATTTGTAGGAATGATGATATTCAAATTAAGTCATTCAGGGACATAGGAGTATAATGATTGATTAAAATAGGGGCACATCGCGTGGTAGACCACTATCATATATCATTCTAAAAAATAGAATGTTCAGAATGGATCAGATAGCTAGTCATTGCACGATAGATCACTATTCTGATCGCGTGACAGGTAGGAACTCATCGCATGAATGGTTACTACTTGATGAACAACGTCATTTGCGGGGATGATGACATTGACTATAAGAGGTAATCATTAACGTGATAGTTTGTGTAGACCCACCATCCTATTAAAGAGAATTTACGGGGGAATTTAGAAGAAATCAGCTATTCAGAGGTGATTGTTAATGTGATAGCTTTATATGGGCCTACCATCCTATTGATGAGGATTGGTGGGAGACTTTTAGAGGTTAGTAAGGAGTGTTTGTTACCTTAATTGGCCTCGCTGGAGTTGAAGGAGGCCTACAGGTAGTACTTCTTCATAAATTTACCGTTAATAGGCATCATGATCTTATCGCCATTCAGTTTGACGAGGCGATAAACTCTATTCGAATAGACCATCTATACTACGAATGGTTCTTCCCATTTAGGTTGGAATTTTCCATTTTTTTGGAGTTAAGTATCATCGGTCGTTGAACAGCAATGACCAACTCTTCTTCCTTGAAAGATCTATGTTTGACTTTCTTATCGAAAGCCCTGGATATTCGGGCTTGATAGAACTTAATATGTTGTTGAGCTTCAAGCCACTTTTCATCTAACGCCTCCAATTTTGCGAGACGTCATTGATGGATTGTAAGCCTCGGCTAATCTGTTTGCTGATGGATTGTAAGCCGTGGATGAAAGATTTTGTATTCTGAAATTGTTACAAAACCAAGTGAATGTATGACTAACAAATTATGATTCGTTGTCATGAATGATACGTCTGGGAACATCATATCTGTAGACGATATGATGCTTTATGAATTTGACCACATCACTGGTTATGACTTCTCTCAAGGGAATGGCTTCAGCCCATGTAGAGAAGTAATCAGTGATCATAAGGATGAAGTGATGATCTTTTGCTGATGGCGAAGATATCGGTCCGACGATATTCATTCTCCATATCTCAAATAGCCACGAAGTCACTGTCGGATGTAGGTCTTTGGGCGGTTGATGCATGTAATTGGCGTGAATCTGACATGCATGACAACACTTGGTATAAGCTACCACGTTGCTAATCATCCTGGGCCAGTAGTATCCCATTCTTCGTAAGTGATCCCAGAGCTTGGGTCCGGATTAGTGAGCTCCACAGGTACCATCATGGGTAGCCTGCAGGGCTTCCTGTGCTTCTTATGTTGACAGACATCAAAGTAGTATGCCATCGAACGGCCTACGATACAGTGTCTTTGTCGTCGAGTCGTAGTAAAATCTTAGTGCACATGTGCGAACAGACTCTCGCTCTTTAACGTATTCAGGAAGTATGCCGTATAAGATGTAGTCAATGATTGGGAAACACCAATCTCTTGGTTCGATTTGACCCGTAGTCTGGTGAGTTACGTTCACTTCCAAAGTGTACTCTGGTCGAAAGAGTTATCGGCTTGCAATGGTGATATGCTGACTTGTCCCTAGCGGTGCCAGGTTAGTTGCCAACGCCACCAATACATCCGCATATGTATTCTTGGAACATAATACGTGCTTAATGTGAAAGCTTTCAATTGACTCGGCTAATTTGATAGCCGCTTTATGACATGGGATCAAGTCGTCATTCCTGACCTCGTATTCCCCTGTCATCTATTTGACGATGAGTTGAGAGTCACTATATGCTTCAAGATGCTTTATCTCTAACTCTTTAGTAAAGTCGAGTCCAATGAGCAACGCATTGTACTCAGCCATGTTATTGGAATATGGCTCTGTTAAAGAGAAGGCTCGAGGTAATACGTGGTTTTGTGGAGAAACTAAGACTACCCCCACTCTCACGACGATCGTCCCTT